ACTTTCAAGGCAACTGTGGATCTCATGATGTCTATCTTGTAGTAGCGACTATAGTAGTCCACGATGACCAGAATGGACTCACTAGTGGGGAGTGATCCAAGCAAATCAATTGCTAATTCTCTCCATGGTCCAGTTGGCAATGCTGTGCTCATGATAGGTTCTTGTGGGCTGGGACGGCTAACTAACTGACATCCATAGCAGGTTTTGCAGTGTTTTTCAGCATCCTTTTCAATCCCAGGCCACCACACTTTACTGTGCAACTTCTGTTTGGTTCCAAAGATGCCCAGATGACCTTCGTGAGCGAGGGACAACACCCTGGGTCTAAGTTTCTTTGGGATAACAATTCTTGTCCCTCTCAGTATCAACTGTCCAATGCTGCACAGTTCACTACTATGTTGGAGGTATCTTTTGTAAGCTAGCTGATCCCATGGTTTTCTGTTTAAGCATTCCTTGACTGCACAGAGTTCTTCATCGACTTAAGGTCAAGTTTGGAGAATACCTTGCTGTCACTTATGCTCTAAGTTATCTCATCAACACTTGATTTTATGGTCTTAATGGTCATACCATTGACAAGGTAGGCACTGTAACTTATGTTACTTTTTGGGAGAATGTAAATGGAGAATTCATGTTTTCCATTTTCACTTACAGCAGACAGTTGGCACATCTCAGCTAGCTTCCCTGCGCAAGTCGTTTTTGTGTCAAAGATATCTAATTGATCTTTCTGTTTTGAATCACATTGTAAGTGCACAATCTTTGGCATTTTAGTGTAGGTGGTGTTATTTCTTCATATCCTTTTAGCTCAGTCAGTGATATTTCTGCAGGCATTTCAAATACATTTTGTGACACTGATGATTTGCTGGATCCAAATTTAGAGCAGCTGTTAAGACTCATAGATGAACCCTTCACTGACTTCCCTCATGAGTGTTTGTGAAGTTTTTTGTTTAAATAACTGGTTACACCTTCTCTTGAATTTCTTTTTTTCTTTTCGTTGTTTGTTATGAAAAACCTTCTTGTCCATTGCTTTAGCATGCCTTTCATAGAGAGAACCAGGCTCAATGTTAAGAATCTCTGATGTTTTTCCAATGTAGTTGTATCCAATATTGGTTTGTGCCACCCCACATGCTACTCGAAAATCATTACTTTCACTGCCTCCATAAAAACGAGTTTTTTGGGGTTCTTAGAACCAATGGTGCTATTAAGACTTTCATTTCTCTGTGAATTAGCACATGGGGTCAGTTAATTCACTACAGTGTCAGTAGAATATTCATCCAGAATGTCACTTAAGGCTTTTTTTAGGGAATCTCCAAAGAGATTTTTGCCATTTTGTAAGGCCCCCAACGTCCTCTTCCACTTGATAAACGACATTCTTCAATCCAGCTTTACTTCTGATTACAGCAGCCTTCATCTTTGTCACTGTGCTCCTGTCCGTTCTGAGGTAGGGTATGGAACCAGTCTTGGCATTTCCATGAGCCTTTAACTTTATCTGGTGCTCTGGCGCTCCCTCGAAGTAGTAACGTACAAAGACCAAGTTGTGGTGTTGAGAATCGAGTAGAACGACATTCACAATGGTCTTTCGAAGGGAATTATCACTTTTGTTGATAAATGTTCTTCGACAGACACAATGCCCATCTTCGCGGTGTTCAGGAACCTTTGTAATCTTGGTGACAAGACCGTCATTCCAAGCTAAGAGGTACTTTTTCGTTGCTCTCTTACTCTGGTCCCAGGAACCAAGATCATCCGAAAGTAAATCCTCTGGTTGCTGAAGGTGATCAAGATCCACAAGAAAGGAAGCATTATTTTCGACACGAATTGGGTGCGTTTCTGCGATCAATTCCAGGTAGGAATTTCTTGCATTCATAACAGAAGGTACTATTCCGTATTTCTAAAGTCATCAAGAATGGCCAATGGCATCATCGGAAGTAACACGTTTCCTTTGTAGTGTTTAGGAACTTCTCGTTCATCATCTGAGCTTAAATGAGAAAGTGGTAAACGACGGGCATACCTGTAGAATGATAAAGACCAAAATTGTAACCCTATCCTGCCTTGGGTGAGGTGGAGGGCACAATTTGTAACTTAAAAACTATTCGTGTTGGTAATAACATAGGACCGAATAAAAATAAGGACATTAATATCACGCCTGTTTTCAGAACTTACAAATTCTGAAGATACAAGAAAACAAGTCATTACTTGTAAATACCATAAAAAGTAAACTTAGTCTGGCAGTCATAGGGTGGTCTTCGGCAATCTTCGGGAGACTATCGGAAATATTTGGCGACCTCCCGTAATCGTTGAAAATCTTCGGAATTTCTCGGGTCACCCTCAGAAATCTTCGGTTTTTTCGAAAATTTTTTGAAATGCTTCTGGTCAACTACAAAGAAATCGCCGGAAGTGATCTGGTAAACTTTGGAATCTTTGGAGGTCCTTGGGTAATCTATGCAGTTTCTGCCTCCCAAGCAGAGCAGGCCCCTGATGCAATCCAACATGACGAAAAACGCTCACAGAAAAAGTTTCAGTAAGCAGAATAAAAACATACCCTTGAGGAGTTTGTCTGGTATATGAGTGATGGGGATGTGCAAGTAAGGCCAAATTGTTAGATCCAAAATAAGTCCTATTAGGCTAGACCCTGACCCAAAAATAGTCTAACGGCCCAGAGCGTTACCCCAAGAAAGTCCCACTAAAAGAAATGTAAATGAAACTGATGCGATCGTTTGTCATAAAAATGAGAACCCCGGGTTTGCTTTTTGTCAAACTCCTCCCTCCCCCCCTCCCCCCCAAAAAAATAAATTCCAAAATCTCCCATCCCAAAAATGCCACCACAAAAATTCTAAGCCCAAAAATGTCATCAGATGGCTTTTTCAATCCCAAAAGCCGGTCTTCGCAGATCACCGTCACTAATATAACTGAGTACCTCCGTCCCGTCCCTGGAAATATACCAGGCTAAATGGGTCTATTTAATCAACGCTAACAGTGTGTTTAAGGGGACTGTGAGGGCATGGTGAATAAAAATTCAGTACTAAGGAACCTATGACATCATATAAAGCTTCAGAGTAACTTACTTTACTTCTCCCTGCCTTTGGTTACCATTGCCTTTTTTCTTTGGAGATTCAAGATCATCTAGTCGCCTTACTATCCCCTCGACACTAGAGTAGGATAATATTTATATTTGTAACCTTTTCTCACAAACATCTTGCATATAAAATTTTGAAAACCAGCATTTAAACGTCTTCCAGAATTCAATAGCCAATGAAAACCGGGGGAAGCATACAGTATTTGCCCTAAAATATGCAAATTTAGGGAAACTACAACCACTCACTGCTCAATGTTCCCACGGTATTAATACACGTGCATTTGATTATGTTAATATGAGGATGGAGAAGGCACATTCAAGTGATAGTTCCAACCACAGCTTCCAGAGTTATCGTTGTAGTGAAAAATAAGGAATTCGAAACTTTTTCAGCTGAACTTATTTGCATCTTCATTTCAAAAACGTGTGCGAATAATTACATTCATGCTCAGATCACGAGACGTAATTACATTATGGACGGTCCAAGCGATGCGAAAACATAAAATCTTGTATTGCAATGCTGCAGGCGAAATTTGTTTAATATCGTTCAGAATACTGGCTTATTTGCCACATCCTAGATTATTTGGCACTTGTTAAAATGAAAATATTTATTATTTTACACACCTCGCGTCCGAGTCTTCCGCAGAATCCTGTAAGCTTTCTGACAGAAACTGGAACCCAGCCCACTAGCAGATATACAAAACAACCGATGGTTGGCCGCTGGTTTTTAATGCGAGTGCAGAGAGAGGGAAAGTATTGCACTAGTTTGAAAGGAGAGCTGATATGATGATGTTTGCCCAAAGTTGCGTTTAACTGGCTTCTGTTCCTCCATTCCCTTGTTCTATCAGAAGTTTAAGAAATTTTGAGCAGAATGTGGCTGCCAAAACAGCAGAAGAAAGCCGTTGGTAAGACAATCCCCAGGAAAACGTTGAAAGGTTTGCTGCAATACTATGCTTTTAAAAATCTGACCACGGGTAGGCCATAGGGTAGGCCACAGGGTAGGCCATGGCCTACCCCACGTTTTGTCCACACCCCTTCTGACACCTTGTAACGTGGTCAGATAACACAACGATATTAATATAACTGTAAGTTGACGATTGTAAAAGTACATAACATAACACGTGTTCATGCATCCGGAATATCAGTTCTCATTGCACTACGCAAGCCCGTAGAGGCTATTGTGACATCGTTACAACATTTCCCTCCAGTGATATATTGGAAAAAATGAGTCAGAGAATTGAGGTAAAGCATAGTCACAGTATAACCATTCTTCATCGCTAGAAGTAGGTGCCTGATGAATTTCATTCCTCATTCCAATACATCGGCAGTGAAACCAAGACTCACAGTTGTCACAGAGTATTCCTTTCTGATAAGATCTTACCGGCTTACTGCACATTATACATGGGTGTTTACTTTCTAGTCTGACCTCGTGTCGAGCTTGGAAGTGACTAATTCTCAGCGGACTCATATTCCGGATTAGTTTCAACGTCTCCACTTCATAAGAGTCTATACACAAGATGGATTATATGTAGATATTTTATTCAAGAACTTTCTTATTCGCCTGGAAAGGTATCTCACTCGTTGTAGACAGCATTGTGGTCCAAGAAAAAATGACGATTCAAGGCCATATAGTCGATTCAGAGGCGACTGTAGGATGTTAACAGGACTATTTAGGATAGACCTCAGTGGAATGCTGCAAGGGTTGTCATGATATGCAGGTACACGTTGTAGAAATTAACAAAATAATAAGAAATAGCGGGAGTTCAGACAAAGCTGACCACTCGCCATGACCGCTGACCTAATATTTGAGAATTCACCCAATGTTTCAAAATTCACAGTCTACATTGCTCTCCTGATTGCGCCTCTGACGCCAGGGATTTCTGTGGCTGTTGCCCTTCTTTCCTGTGGCATTCTTTTTGGGGATTATAGATCCAAAACTGCGGTAATGAAGTGGACGTGAGCTGCTTCTCTTTCTTCATCCAAAAGGGGCTGAACTGATTTCAGGGGCACTCCCAGATCATTCTTACAGTCGGACTCGAGGACTGCCTTTTCGTCATTCTCAAAAACAGCATCGAGAAAGAGCTTTTGATCCTCCTTTTTCCGGATTTCTTAAGTGCTCAATTTGTCGTTACAATTGCGTTGGAAGTGGTTGAACCAACGTAAGCCTATAGCTTTTCGAATTGACTCTAATAGCGCATCGTGAAGTGCTTTCTCCCCGTCGGTTATGGAACCTTGTCCTTTTGTACCTAGGTGAGGGTAGCTGGATATGACTGCTAATGCAATCTTCTTGAAAATATTCTTGTTCTTACTGTAATGAATAGCAGTTGGCCCTATGAACACGGGTGAGTCCTTTGTTCTCTTTGACTGTAGCAGAAGATGCTTGTAAGAGAAAGGTGTCACCCCATAATGGCCAAAATTAAACGTCGGGTCGACACTGAAAGGGTGGCTCAGGATTTTAGAGGTACAGAATCGCGACAGGTCTTGGTACATGTGCTGCTTCTTACCAAGAATCCAAAGATCTTCTAGAACTTCGTGGTGTTCTAGAATAAGTGAATCACCATCCTTTTGCTTCGAATACAAAAAGTGTTCTTCTATATCATTAGCCTTTCTCGAGTTAAATTTCAGGTCGTACATCTGTTTTCTTGACCTTGGAAGTTCTCAGGGATTTTGGGCTCTCAGGAGTCCTCCTGATCCACCCACGATCTTCTTAAATGCAACAGAAGGAGCACTGTGGACTAGTTCATTGATTCCAAGATGCTCTTTTATGTTCGATAGAACGGCTTCTTCCCGTGTTTCCTATTGCCGTGTGGTGCTACTTCGAATTGCACTTCTTCACTAATTTCCTGCGTGGTGTGACACTGCAGTAGACATGTATCATGCAGTATACTTAAAAAGAAGATAGAGCAGCACAATCATTCATTTTTTAATTGATGTGGATGTGCAATTCGTTTCCCTTTTTAAGCGGCACCTTCTTCTGTTATATTTGGACGGATCCGTCTTCTTCCAAGGCCAGCGTCCGCGTAACAATGCGCAGGATACGAGGAAATGCGCCGTTAATGTCACTCTTGATGTCCTGCCAATTCTTATAGGAGCTGACGTCGACAAGGAATGACATATTCCTTCTCACTTCTAGAGGTGTCTTGGTAAATTTCTTGCTGTCTTCATTGGCAGTCAATATCTCCACAATTGTGTTCGCATATTTACAAATTTATATGGTATCGTGATTTGGCAAAAAGAGATTTATATCTATATGGATAGAGGGGCAAGCTTTTAATTGGTTGATTGGCTTAAATTCCTCTGATTAGTTTATAACGTCTGCTGTAACGTCTCATGAACTGTAGTCGACTTTAGTTTTTATCCTGAAAAGATGCATGCACCTCGTCAGGCATCTTGTGCTTTCTGCCCTTTCTAAGAACTTGACGAGATTGTAACATCTGCAATAAAAACAAGAAACACCTCGCTAGATCATTTGAAAGACTTTCAAAGGAACAACTCGATCCGCAAATGTTCTAAAATGAATGAGACCTGTAGATAACTTCAAGTTTCTCCGGTTGCACTGGATCGGCACGATGGGGTGGTTTTCCAACCGTTGCATGATTAACTGCAATTAAATTTTAAAAAATACCCGATCCCGGTCGCTAGTTTCTGACATTTACAAGCGGTTTCCTCTTATATTCTTCTATACAAAAATTGTCGGTGACCAGGATTTTTCAGGTTATCCATAATTACACAAATTTACGCACAGAAAATTCACTTACTTGATCGCTGGGAGTGCTTGTCCCATCATTTGTCACGTCGATAATGAGGTCATCCTTTTTGGGGTCTGAAAAAGTGTCAGTGTTAGCGCCTTGTGAAATGGTTGACCTGTTCAAATATTTTGCGCCGTCTCTCCTCGCGAGAAGCAGTTGGAGTACTCAAGATCTACTGCTGGTCTTACAAATTGTACCAAATGTTTCATTTTCCATCTCATTATCAACAAGTTGGCAACGCTTCTTGGGCATTTGGAAGCATAGATGTACACACCTTATAATGAAAAACGTCACCAAAAGCACCCCTTTTTACGACAAAGCTAAAGTTCAATTGTTTTTTCGTCCTCAATTTTGTCAATCTGTATTCCGTCAAAAAGAAACTGAGGGCTTTCGCTCGTTCCAGTCAACAGCCTTCAATTGTAGACAGATACTGAGTTAATCAAGAATCTTTCTTGAGTTTACTTACGGTGAAAACACAGAACAATATTTTTGACGACAGTTGTCAAGTTGTTATCCGAAAAGGTAAATGTAAGATAATGGTAAATCATCAATAAAAATGCCCCTTTTTTATCACCAAATTATAAGACATTGACGAAAAGTAGTGATATTATATGAGAACCTCTCAATCAAGCAATAACTTATTGAACCACGTTATCGTCTAAGGGCACAAGTGCTCGTTCAAAATACGAACGTGCACTAAATCTACAATTACAAAATCTAGTATTAAAAGAAGAAAAAGAAATTTAAATACATAATCTATAATCTATGTACACACTAATATAAAATGTTATAAAAATTACACACACACACACAATTTTAAATAAAACTTAAAAATATAAATATATAAATATAAATTTAGGGGATATACTTAGTAGTAAAGAGCAATAAAACTCCATTACCACTTTCCAAATACTGGCTTTTCTGAACCCAGGTCTTGATATCTCAAGACTACTAGTTCCCTAACGAGACACTTCGAACAGTGTTATGAATAGCGTGATAGCATTCACCTGATTATCACTACTAAAGACTGAGCCTTATATGCTTTAACTCCACTAGTTGCCAAACGGTTCCACAGCTACTGACAAACAGCGCGGCAGCATTCAAGGGAAGTGGATTCATAAATTTTGAGCGGTCTATTTCCATCTCCTCCACAAGATTCTGGAACCGGGTGAGGATCCAGTATGTACAATTGTCGTGACAGAAATCCAGTAAGAAGCGAAAAGGGCTCACAAGTGTAAATCGACAAGAACGTTTGGCCATTTGCAAGCTCCTGCATTTTCTATTGAAGTCGATCTCTGTTCACCTCGGCAAAAACTCCATCAGCGTATGGCAGTTCTTCTGTAAACTCGAATTCATTCTTTAGGTGTTTGTGATCTCTCATAGGTTTGTTGGCGTCCAAGATGGTATACAAGGATGACAAGTCACGAGTTTTATTTAATTTCGAGGGATAATTAATGATCATCTGCGTTGCAGTCTGGGGTATGTCATCCAAACATGTTGCTAAACTGTTGGGTACATAAAATAGCGTCGCATATTTGCGATGCAAGGAAAACACATGCGTGAGTTGCATCGTTGGGCACTTCCACGCCAGAAGGGGGGCATGAAGGACTTTCAAGATATATCCTCGTTAAGAATTCATGGTCAGTGACATCAATTGCAGTGACCTGGCTTACAGGCAGGTGAGTATTCACACAAAAAGAAGGCATAGCATTTTCCAGCTTGACTCTGAAGAACATCATCAATGTAACATTTTCTCTTGTTCATGTCAAAATCGGTACATTCTTGATGTAGATACAGGATATTATTCCATACTGTAGCATGTTGCACTTCAAAGGACTTGCAGCACTGTGTGGCTCTGTCGACGTTGAATTATTTCTCGCAGATTATCCACAGGTTCCTTCAAAGGGTGCGTGGACGATAACGCACATCTACCCAGAGTTAACCACGTTCTGCCCCGTTAACCCACATCTACAACAGGTTAGCCATGTCCTAACACATTAACCCACATCTAACCTAATTTATCCATGTATTACCACGTTAACCCACATCTACCCTAAGCTAACCATGTTCTGCCCCGTTCACCCCATCTACCCTAGGCTAACCATGTTCTACCACGTTAACCCACATCTACCCTTAGTTAACCATGTTCTACCACGTCAACCCACATCTAACCCAAGTCAACCATGTTCTATCCCGTCAACCCACATCTACCCTACGTTAGCCATATTCTATCCCGTTAACCCACATCTACCCTAAGTTAACCATGTTCTATCACGTTAACCCACATCTTCCCTAAATTAGCCATGTCCTACCACGTTAAGCTCCATCAACCCCAAGTTGACTATATTCTACCACGTTAACCCACGTCTACCCTTAGTTAACCACGTTGTACCACGTTAATCCACATCTACCCCAAGTTAACCATGTTCTATCCCGCTAACCCACATCTACTCTACGTTAACCATGTTCTACCACGTTAACCCACATCTACCCTTAGTTAACTGTGTTCTACCACGTTAACTCACATCTACCCTTAAGTTAGCCATGTTCTACCCCGTTAACCCACATCTACCCTACGTTAACCATCTTCTACCCCGTTAACCCACATCTACCCTTAGTTAACCACGTTGTACCACGTTAACCCACATCTACTCTTAGTTAACCATGTGCTTACACATTAACTCACATCTACCCCTAGTTAACCATGTTCTATCACGTTAACCGACATCTACCCTTAGTTAACTATGTTCTACCACGTTAACTCACATCTACCCTTAAGTTAGCCATGTTCTACCACGTTCACCCACATCTTCCCTAAGTTAACCATGTTCTACCACGTTAACCCACATCTACTCTAAGTTAACCATGTTCTGCCACGTTCACCCACATCTTCCCTAAGTTAACCATGTTCTACCACGTCAACCCACATCTTCCCTTAGTTAACCAGTTGCCTTGAATGTTTGGTAGTTCGTACTTAAATTTATTTTCTCTGAGACTATAAGGGTGTAACAAAGATTAAACAAGTCCGGTATAATCTATGTTGTGAAATGTTATATTTTCCGTTTCTCTTTGTCACTTCTGTCACAAACCTGTTTGTATCAGAAAGGGCGAAGGACAGGTTAAAAGATGTGCTTACTCCAGTTAAGGAGCTTCCCGCGAAAAGTACCGTACCGCTATCAGGTACTTAGCGAGCTAAAATACAGATGTAAATTAATATAAAATTATTCACTCTTTGTAAGCGTGCTCATGCTCATTGAATCCCTTCTTGCTATGATTTACACTGATCAGTCAATTTCATTGGTCATTACTTGCTTATGGATAGATCCCAAGAGTTGAAATATTAATTATAGGAGGATTATAGTGATTACCTCAATAGTACAGAGGCGATTCGTATCTTGGGCAACCTTGAATCGTAAATCATTAATCTTGCGTCCTGAATCTTAGAGTTTATATGTTGGTCATAGACATATCGGGTATAAAGTTCTTGAGCCAATATACTAAATATCGAAGGGGGCGTTCTTGATAGTTCCCCAAAAGGAGATTCAGAAATAAGAATCTATTTCGATTGTCGTCACTCACCGCTGCACTATTTATTGATAGGGACTGAAGATACTGAAAAAGAGTGGAGGGAGAATTACTGGAGAAAGAAAAAGTGAAAATGCTGCATAACTCAAAGGATTAAGCAGCATTTCTCGTCAACGAATCTTTGCACCCGTTGGAAACGACCAGCACCATACCTTGTCACGTCAACTCAACGATGCGTTCACACCCCTTAAGAAGTGAAGTTTAGTTCGTCGTGAGATGTAAAAACAAAGCAATGTAAGAAATGTAAAAGCAAAGATTTGAGGAAAAGGGAAAACGGTTTTCGAGTGTGTGCAAATATTT